GGCATTCGTAGGATGGATGCCGCGACAATGAGCATCAGCTTGGCAAAAATGATCCCAACAAACACGTAGTTCTTTTGGCGCGGGCGTAATACAGTGGTGTCCTTCGAACCACTTTGTGTCAAGACACAAACCTAACTGGACGATACTTCGACGGAGGCCTTGCCGAAGTAGTGACATTCTGGGTGGGACAAACAGTAGTAGTATCATTAGCGATGCCTCTAGTGTTCATCAAGGTTCCCTGGCAGGGAATCCCAGCACCAAGGCGAGGAGATTAGCGACGGAGACGAGACCGATGAAAGATAACATTCTCTATGGGGGGAATTGCTATAGTGAATCAACATTGGTGAAGGACAACTCCACACCACAAGAAGAACGGTCTACAACAGAAATCACTCCATCAACAGAGTAAAGGCAATCTGCTTTCCCTAGACGCACACAAGAGGCACTCGAGAAACCTGCGCTGGTGTCACTATATCGATCACGATGGCGTGCGTTTTTTCATCCACGTCGACCAAAGTCGCTTAGCGGTCCGAACACTGGCAAAAAAAGGTCCGAACGCTGGAAAAGCTGGTAGGGAAGGGTTTTGAGAGTTTTATCGCGGGCCTTCGGCCCGCTTTTCATAGCCCCTCTTAGTTCAGTGTCCTGAGCTTTTAATACAGCTACTGGAATGCTCTGAAGTCGAGCTGGACTAAGAGCAGGACGTCGGTCCCTGGTTCAAACCCCACTAGAGACATTTTTCTTGGATTTCGTGCACTTGCAGGAATAGCGCATTTTTGGACTGGGATTCAATGTTGAGGAAATGGAGCACTCTCACATCAAGTTCCATAGTGACACTTCCGCTGATGCTATTTGAGAGTCTCTCTCTGAAGTGAAAGACTCTTCTTCCGCACGATTACAATCTCGAATCTCTCAATGAGAGATGAGCCTCCAACTCTTGTTCCGTCGTGGGCGGACAAACAGGTTGAAAGGCTCGAGTCGACTTGAGTTCACAAATCTTGACTTATTATTCTGACGAGGTCATGGTGCGGAAGTAATTGTTTCGCATTACCCGCAGTTGACGCATAAACGACATAAAGGCATAAAGCATGCACCCGACAGATTGACTGACTGGGGACTCCCTGATCCTTCGACAGAGATTTTTGTCTCTACTGTAGAGACTCCATATAGACACCTTCAGGGGCCAGTTCTGAGATCTAACTTGAACATCAAAACATTCCTAACTCTGCGTACTGAACTAAGTACAGTGTACCTCACAAAAAATCGTTGTGTGGGTGTCGCAAGCTAGCCATTGCTTGCCTACAGGCGGAGCCGGCCTAAGACGAAGTCTGTTCGCGGAGTGGCGATTCTCGCTCATCGCATCTACCCGCTAATTGCCTCAAGATCTGGAGTTATAAATTCAAGACATGGTTTGGAGTTATGCAGTAGCTGTCATGCGAAACACACGCTACAATGCGCTCACGGATAGGTTGAACTATCACAATAAACACAATTTCCGGCGCTAGAAGTCATGCTCGGATCTATCGCTAGAACCGGGGATATTGGAGTAAACATAACTCCTTTTGTACGAGTTTTTTGCCAAAAAAAGTTATAGTACCGAGAAATTTTTGGAGAGCTAAGTCGCACATCGTGGACTTTATTAAAGATGGGCAAGTGTCAAAGAAGGTAACTTCAGTACTTGGTGCGATTTCATTTGGTCGCGTGTGATGATTGAATCTCTCAAGTTTGACATTGTTACAACGCATTTCTTATTGAATTACCAACCTCATTATGATCCTCGTCTCAGCTTCTGGCCCTCAGAAGGTGATTTCTCCTTGTTGCCGTCTAAGAAGCTGCATGATGTCAAGCGCAAATAATGAGCGATGTCAAAACTGATGGGTTGACGGCCAAACTCATTGGCTCTTCCACATTCAGTTCTGCGTATCTTGGTCTCACTGTGAGACCGTCAGAATCTCACAGTTAGTAGTTTCGGAGACTCTCCCACCACTCTGCGGAATGCATTGGTCTGGGGCTCCACGGTGATGGACTGGTCACTACTATGAAGCTTTGTATTACAAACGTTGAGGCTCAGGGTCTGAGCTAACTTCAGCATGGACCCAAGTGACATGTGCGACTTCAGCAACTTTTTGGTGTCTGGTAACACCCTCAACGAGCTAAAACTATCATTGATAATGCTCCACCGCGCATCTCTGCAACTACTGCGGTTTCAGCATCTGTCTCTGTGGCTGACTCAACCAGCAAGTGGCCTTGCAAGTATTGTAACTTTGGCAACTGTCACGCTGGCTGACTCGTCTTCAGCGATTGGCGCTCTTTGAGTGACGGCAGTGTGCATGTGAATGATAGACTATATCATATCAGATATAGCGACTCGCTCCGAGTCGCTTGATCGACCTTTCGAGTTCAATTGGGATTCACTATAGCCCTGAGTCTCTTGGGGAGTAGGTTCTACCTGATTCCAACTTGAAACACAACACTTATGCTCTGCAGTGGTATTGAGATGCATTTACTATAGGCATCATTCATGCAAACTTTGCATTGCAAAGTGAGCCTAGTATTCGTAGCACTAATTATCCTCTTCTAGTAGGTTCATTGTTGGGGCTTCACTCTCCCTAGCTCGCTTCCTCGTAGCAATTGAAGTGGCTCTCCCTGCTAATCCGAATCGGACATCCTCAGGCATCTCATGAGTGCCTATGCGACCCCCTCTGTTTCGACGTTGAGGTGGTCGACTGAGGAAAGTCCTTATATACTTCCACTGCTCTTTGGCTTCGGCAGAATCATCGCAGCGCATTATATAGGATATGCAGACGACATGTGCACACACCAGTTTAGAGCCCCAGATCTTGCATGTACACCACGGGCCGAGAGGAGGTGGGGTCTCCCAACTAGCCGTCTGGCCATATGTGACGATGCAGTATTTGCTCTTCAGCTCCCTCGCTTCGTCAAGACTGGTGTAGGCGCTCTCTGCGAACTTCTTGGCTTCATCGCTCCTCGGCGAGAACACAAGGTCTTTCAGAGAAGTTACCCCATCTGGTAGCCTGGATCGCTCGCTCGCAAAGAAAATCCACTGCGTGTTGTTATTTTCAGTATCAATGTAATGACTCGTCCTCCATGATCGAGGCACCACCGAGCAAAAGTCTCGCTCGAAGAATTTGGCGGCCAGCCGTCTGTCACCTTGGTCTGCAATCCCTCGTAAGGCTTCGTTACGACCATACTGTGATATTTGCATCCAGCTCGGAGCTGACTTGACGAAGCTCCCGAAATCTCCAAGGGTACGGCGATATCGACTGGTCAGCACCGTCTTTTTCAGCTCACCATGGAATCTCTCAACGGCATTGTTGGTGCGAGGACCTGCTATCTCACTCGCATACTGTCCCCAGTGACTTCTCCAATCATCCTCATCAAGGTAGCCTCGAATCTCGTCAAGGAATATTGCGACTGCCTCCTTCTCCGATGGCTGCAGATTCTCACGAGGATCTGAACAGAGAATAGAGTATGGCACCACGCCAGAGTTGGACATCCTCCAACGGTAAGTCCTCGGTAAGGAAGCGTGTTAGAAACATTACCTTCGTTCCATTTGGTCAGGAACAATGCTCTGAGGCGCTTCCACTCAGCGCGGTTCCAAGAGTCACCCATCAAATCCAAATCTTGCTGATTGCAAACCAGAGCTTGCGAGAGAGTCTCGCGGTCGCCTTGGCCTTCCGAGCACGTTGCTTCATATGATAGTAGCAGGAGATGATGATTACATCATTTCCAAGGACTTCTTCTACGCCGCTGTGCAAGCTCGCCGACCCGTCCATTACGACCTCAGATGGAATGGAACCCACGAGTTCGAGAGCTGCCGCTGCCGCCATCACCTGCTTCAACATATGGGCCACGGACTTGGTAGTTTCGCGCTTCATTAAGCAGAGAGCAACAGGCCGAGCAGCAGCATCGCGTGGGAGAGCACATACCACGGTGAGCACTACGTCAGCGAAGATAACATTGTAGGTAGCATCTATGCCAATGGTTTTGCACCGTTCCAGATTCCTCAGCATCCTCAGGCTTGTGAAGACCATGGAGAGTTCCGTCACCTCACATCGCCCACTTGGCTCCAAACCTTTTTCGCATAGGATGTTGTCAAGTATTATACATCGATCAGCTTGTCGAACACGAAGTAAGTCGGCCTCTGTTGAAGCACCACTTTCCACTTTTCTCAGGCTGCTCAATATAGGCGTCATCGCTTCCCGTATCTCCTCGGAGCTGAGACGGAGGGACTTGAGCTGCTCGATGAAATCGTCGAGGTTCAGGCCTCCCTTGCCGTTTTCCTTCAGGGAGCGATAAACGCCTCGGATCTTGGCGTAATCGGTAAGGCCCTTATTAGCTAAGAACTCTATGCTTTCATTGCAGTACCCGCCTGCCATATACCGCTCATTTGTCTTCAACTTCAACTTGTCCAATGTCAGAGTTGGAGTAGTATGGAGTAGCTCTGCCCAATGATCCACTATGTCAGGAGGAACGTAAGAACTCTTACAGATCTCTGTGCCGTGGAGAGGGCCTCCTCCATGGGACCGCCACTGATCTAGCTCAGTCGCTATGGATTTCAGAGGGTAGAAGAAGCATCGTCCAGATTCCATGCGGACGAGAATCTCGGCAAACCGGCAAGTGTGAGTAGGCCATAGTCGCCAGTCAGGGCGAGAACCTTTAGCAGGTACTTTGTCTGCAATCACATCGCTGACAGTACGCTTGCACTGGAGGATACATCTCCTATGTCCTGTTTTGAGCTTCTCGAGAGATGCATCTTTGAACCGCAGGTAGGGATGGGCCAGTAGATATCGCTTCACCACCGTATAGATATGCCCTTTGTAGATTATGAAAGGCTCCCCACCAAATTTATCGTTCTTATGTCCCAGATTACCCTGGGCACTGGCAGTACTTGCTTCATGTAGCTCGGTATCGTCACTGTCATCGTCTGTAATATCCTCCTCCACAGCATCTATATCCATTAGATCAGCAACATCCTCTTCAGGTTGAAAGTCATCTGATTCATATTCTCGCGAGTCCATGAAAGCACCAGGGCAAGTCTCAGAGGTAAGATGCGCCTCACTCAACTCCGCGTTCTGGTCGTCGGGTACCTCTGTCGATTTGTTGAATGACACACTATCGGTTGTAGTGAAGTTCTTGGCCGGCGGTATGATAGTTCTTGTGGAATGTATTTCAGGTACTCGCGTGTCAGAGCCGCTGGCGTTCAACTTCTTGAAGTTATCGCGAGCCTCTTCTCGGAGCATCTCCTCAACCATGGTGAGAACCTGGCCCTCGTTCTCGACGATATCTTCAGTCAGATTGAGCATTTCATCAAGCCTCCGATAGAACTCGAACTTGAATGATGGCTCAAGCATGGCTAATCTAGCCTGAAGGAGCGGCTTTGCCATGCAGTATACCACCGGATTGATGTAACGGCCGTTAACGCTGGTTTGATTGGATGCGTATTGATGAGACATGATAAGTTGTTCCATACGACCACAGATATCCTTGTTGAGGTCGGCAATAGTCTTGCTGAGCTCCTCGACCTCTCTGCCCCCACTTGGTCTCCCAGTTACGTTCGGATCATGGGTAGTAGCATCGGTACCAAAACCACTGACAATTCGCCTTGCACCTATTTCAGGATTGCTTCGGTGCACCGACGCAGGTATGATGCTCGTCTGCCGGCACATCGCATCGAACTCCACAGCTGCAGGATCCATGATGAAGATAGGGTCGATTCGATTGGCGTCCGAAGTATGACGTAAAGAGTTCACTCTTTTCCTACTGCTACTCCCGACTCTGCTTAAAGCTGTATATAGAGCCCCAAGGAGCCAGGGCCTCGACCAGTACCTTCTTATTTCTTCATCCCTTTCAGGCCCTGCCCCTTTGAAGGGCAATTGAAGCCAAGCGCCTTCCAATGTGACCCCGACTACACGATGAATAGTCAAGGCTGCGCAAACTCGAAGAGGCAGCTGTTTTCTGGAGAAGAAGATCTGTCCATCGCATCCGCGAACAGTGAATGTAGCACGGCGGATTTGGACTGGACTAGCACCCTGATCGCCGAAGATCACGGTAACAACCGGGTCTCCTCGTATGACACTTATGTCCCGTACATCACCGATCATTCCATTGGCGAATCGCTTGGCTTCATCGTTGACTGTGGCAATAACTTTGCAACCCCTTTTCAGATACAGCATAGGAGAGAACCCCATCTTGGAGATATCGTTGCGGTTGAATTTGGCTGGGGAACTACCATATTCGGTATCGACACAAGGGAAGGAATGCAGTTCTCCCTCGAGACCCTCCAAATGACGGGAGTTGTAGTCTTCAACCTCGGAATTGGTTAAACAGATGATGACATGCGGGAACCTAACAGTAAGACAGTAAGAGACAACCTTTAAAATACATGAGTCCGCTTGTTGCCGTGGTAACGGTATCGTTTGCACATGTCTATGTCATGCGTATCCACTATGTTGCACAGTTTGTACGTTGCGCTCGATCCGATACTCTATATTTCTCAGATCCATCTCACCTAGGGCATACGCCTCCACCATCTCGATCTCGAATCTTCTGCAAAGTTCTAGCTGCTTGATCCGGTAGTCGTGGAACTCCTGGAGAAAGAGGAGGAGCTGAACGTATCTGTTCTAGCAGCTCGAGATATGCGATATCCTCTCCTCCGCTTCGATGAAACTCCCGTAAGTAGAGTGCTGTCGGTGCCATTTGTTCCCAGGTGGAACTCTGCCAGCACGGATATGTAGGATATTCACCAGGCGGATATGCTGGAGACTGGTCGAAAAGTTCGACGCGGCCGAGCTGGCATACGTCGCCGCAGAGCACCACCACAATGCCTGCGAAAGCCTTACCACGATCTCCATTGGGAACAAGCTCCTTGAAGGTACCCGATAGAGCATCTAATATGGAGCTATGTAATGCTCCGACTTCATCCAAGAAGAGAACAGGCTTCTTTGGTAAGGTTTTCTTCCCCCGTAGATATGCAACCATACGCCTCTGCAGGATGGGGGTATCTCGCATGTATGCGTTATCGCCCACCAATCCTGTAGAGTCGAAGGTTAATCCGCAGTAGGACATAATTGTTGAGGCATTCGTAAGTTGCCGTGCAGCCATTCCGCTCCAGGTCAACACCACGGGCTCCAAGTCAGGAGGGAGGCTGTTGATCAGATGGTTCATCAGGTGAGTTTTGCCAACTCCGGCGGATCCAGTTATGTAGAAATATCGAGACGAACCAGGCCTCTTAATATGTTCCATGATATGATCGTAAGCGAGCTGCTGATGGTGGTCCAAGCTATACATTCTTGGCAGATACAGGCTGGAACTAATTCACGGAAATGATAATCAGCTGACGCCTGTCCCCGTCTCAACGCAATTCTCAATTGCAACTTCAGCAACAATCGCTGTGGAGCCATCGGTTTAATCTCTGTCCGCCATGGTTACTCTGACTACTGATTATCAGTGGTCAGTAACTGATACCATTAGAATGCAACTCTCCTTCGACTGTTACAGTAGTCTCTACTCAACTACTTTCAAGTCACAGCGCCTTACACTGTTGTTGTTGTTGTTGTTGTTGTTGTTATTGTTGTTGCCGTTGTAGGCTGCTGTACAACAGCAGTGCTGCTGTCGTTGCTTCGCACGTTAGAATGGTACGGTGTTGAGTTCGTATCATCATCATGATATCATCGTATGATCAGTAAGTTTATAATAGACTTGCCACCGTCATAGAATAGCTAGCAAGACGTGATTGACAACCCAAGAAGATAAGGCGACGAACTGCATGCATTTCTACTTAGATGCATGTATAAATCTATATGTATCTATATAATTAGACAATAAACAATAGGTTATCACCGTAAATGATAGCAAAAATGATCGCCGATTGTTATCGGGATTAGCTAGGTAATCCCGCAGTGGTTTGTAGCCTGTGGTAGGGAGTGTGGTTTGAGATGGGACAAACACTGACGAGCTGAAAAAAGTATTCGAATTTGTAATAGTATTTCTCCATCTCTCTCCGTCTAACTCAGTTGTACTCAACACCACCTATCATGAAGGATACAAATCATATGATATGAAGGTGTAATAGCGAGTGTACCACATTATAGCGTGTGGTCATCGAGGTGGTCGTGGTGGTCAAAACGAGACAAGTACAACAACAGCAACAACAACAACAACAACAACAGCAACAACAGCAACAACAACAACAAAAACAACAACAACAACAACATCAACAACAACATCAACAACATCAACAACAACAACAACAGTCGTTTCATCCTCTCTGAACTCAAACTTTGATCACATACGATCTCCCTCCATCTAACTCAGTTGTACTCACCACCGCCTATCATGAAAGAAACATATCATATGACATGAAGGTGTATTAGCGAGTGTACCACACTATAGCGTGTGGTCATCGAGGTGGTCGTGGTGGTCAAAACGAGACAAGAACAACAACAACAACAACAACAACAACAACAACAAAAACAGCAACAACAACAACATCAACAACATCAACAACATCAACAACAACAGCCGTTTCATCCTCTCTGAACTCAAACTTTGATCACATACGATCTCCCTCCATCTAACTCAGTTGTACTCAACACTGCCTATCATGAAAGAAACACATCATATGACATGAAGGTGTATTAGCGAGTGTACCACACTATAGCGTGTGGTCATCGAGGTGGTCGTGGTGGTCAAAACGAGACAAGAACAACAACAACAACAACAACAACAGCAACAACAGCAACAACAACAAAAACAACAACAACAACAACAACAACAACAACAGCCGTTTCATCCTCTCTGAACTCAAACTTTGATCACATACGATCTACCTCAATCTAACTCAGTTGTACTCAACACTAGGGTGGCACGAATTATTTCCTTCCAATTATTTCCTTCCATTTCCTTCGGAAAGATGAAGGAAATTTAGAAAATTCTTTCGAGTAGGAAAAATAGGGAAAAATAGGAAAAATAAGGAAAAATAAAGAAAAAATTTCCGAAACGACCATAAATGGGCACAAAAATTTCAAAAAACAAGAGGTCTCACACCAGGTGATGTCTGGGATATATGTCTGTGTTAGTGGTCTCGGTTAGACTGAGTATAGGGAAACCTTGTTCGCCAGGATGATCAAAGACTTTTGTGGCGAGCGAGAATTCGATTCGCACTTCCACTGGAAGGCCCAGCTTGCGGTTTCGGACTGAAACTTTCAGTTATTGCATGGCACTTCGCAATGCGAAGTTCGCATCATGACCACTTTATTCGAGCGGGAAATGCTGCATTCCCACAAGCATAAGACGGTGGAGTATCAACGTAGCATACTCCAAAACAAACGGATAGGTATCCCTGACGCAACATATAGGCAGTGGTTCTGGAACCGGCCGCAGGCTCACACTGTGAGCCTCACAGTATGAGCCTCATACTATGAGGCACTGAACTAGTCAGTAATCACCGTTACCAATAGACTGACGTTTGCACCTCATTTCGCATAGTAAGTCAATGTTCTCGTCTGCGTTTCTTGCTGAAAACGATCGAACCTGTGAAAACGATCGAAACTGGAAGGCTTTGTTGGTTACTAGAAGACAATGTTGGCCGCCCCATGGACTGCCGTGACTAAAGTTTTCGACAGCCCTCTTATTCGAGAAAAAATGAAACGAAGGAATGCAACCGTCAAAGGATCAATCAAGTAATGCTCAGCGACAGCTCTAATCACCGAGCGTTGCGTTACAAACTTTCCTATAGAGAGCGCGCTTGTTCAGCCGCTGAACTTTAGCGCACGCCCTGGTCTCTTCCAGTGTGGATATCTCCCATATCTTGTAACGCTTTCAATTTCAATCAAGCTATGAAACATGATTAGTAAATGCAAATCATCTGCTAGCAGCCCGACCGAATAAGACAGTGACGCTCTGGCCTGCCAAACCTGGCAGGCCAAGCGAAAAAATTTATTTTTCCATATTTTTCCGTATTTTTCCTTCATTTTTCCTTCAAATTTCAAATTTCCTTCCGAAGGAAATAATTTTTCTATTTTTCCTTCCGCGTGCCACCCTACTCAACACTGCCTATCATGAAAGAAACACATCATATGACATGAAGGTGTATTAGCGAGTGTACCACACTATAGCGTGTGGTCATCGAGGTGGTCGTGGTGGTCAAAACGAGACAAGAACAACAACAACAACAACAACAACAACAACAACAACAACAACAACAACAACAACAACAACAACAACAACAAAAACAGCAACAACAGCAACATCAACAACATCAACAACAACAACAACAGCCGTTTCATCCTCTCTGAACTCAAACTTTGATCACATACGATCTACCTCAATCTAACTCAGTTGTACTCAACACCACCTATCATGAAAGAAACACATCATATGACATGAAGGTGTATTAGCGAGTGTACCACACTATAGCGTGTGGTCGTCGAGGTGGTCGTGGTGGTCAAAACGAGACAACAACAACAACAACAACAACAACAACAACAACAACAACAACAACAACAATAACAACAACAACAACAACAACAACAACAACAACAACATCAACAACATCAACAACAACAACAGCAGCCGTTTCATCCTCTCTGAACTCAAACTTTGATCACATACGATCTCCCTCCATCTAACTCAGTTGTACTCAACACTGCCTATCATGAAAGAAACACATCATATGACATGAAGGTGTAATAGCGAGTGTACCACACTATAGCGTGTGGTCATCGAGGTGGTCGTGGTGGTCCAAACGAGACAAGAACAACAACAACATCATCAACAACAACAACAACAACAACAACAACAACAACAACAACAACAACGACATCATCATCATCAACAACAACAACAACAACAACAACAACAACAACAACAACAACAACAGCCGTTTCATCCTCTCTGAACTCAAACTTTGATCACATACGATCTCCCTCCAGGCCTCCAAAATGTTCTGTAGTGCCGTAACAGTCAGAAGATGAGGGTTAGGACTCTCAAATAGCATCAGCGGAAGTGTCACTATGGAACTTGATGTGAGAGTGCTCCATTTCCTCAACAATGAATCCCAGTCCAAAAATGCGCTATTCCTGCAAGTGCACGAAATCCAAGAAAAATGTCTCTAGTGGGGTTTGAACCAGGGACCGACGTCCTGCTCTTAGTCCAGCTCGACTTCAGAGCATTCCAGTAGCTGTATTAAAAGCTCAGGACACTGAACTAAGAGGGGCTATGAAAAGCGGGCCGAAGGCCCGCGATAAAACTCTAGTAATACTAGTAATACTAGTAATACTGAGACTTACCGTAACTAAACGCACAAATAGGAAGGATAGAAGTGAGTAGTTGATCGCGTGGCAATGCCACGGTGGCACCAGAGCGAGGGTCTCGTTGTAGGACGAGCGAGGTTGTCAGAGCGTTGGGAATTGTAGGACGCCCTGAAGTGGACAACGCCCTAGGCAGAGCGTTGTCCACTTCCTGGCTTCTGCTCCACTTCGGCAGGAAGTGGAGCAGAGCGATACAGATGCCACACCTTGCGTAGGTGCCGCCGTTGGCGATGAGTAACGGTGGTCCTATCTAAGTAGTACCTTAAGAGAAGAAAATGGCAACCATTCAATTGCAAGTCCGAGATTTGAGCTAAGTTCAAGGTGAACTGTTCAGCCAGGTTACTTTCTGAACGCTGCAATCGTCTGCTGCCGCTGGAACTACTCTGTAGGAGGCAAATGAATTCCTAAGAGGCGCTCCATTCTGATAATACGTCTTTCTTCTAGGGGTATGGACCTGTTGCTGAGAACTAAAGGGTAACGATGGGGGGAGGAGAGATGAAGGGAGGCTCCTCTCGAGATCGGCTGGGTGACTCTCACAAGCGGACGGAGATGGCAGTAGGCCCTAATGATTAGGGCACCTTCGAGAAACCTTGGAGGGAGTCTCAATCTAGAACTCTCAGAGTTCAACTCTGGAAGATCGACAAACGACGTTCTATCAAAGTCCTCGCTTATAATTTATAATTTAGGAAGAAGTCGCTTAAAAGGGACCAAAACACAGCCGACAGACCTTACAAAGAACTGTCGGCCGAGGACTCCTTAGGGAAGTCCTCAGGGAATCCACACTGTGGATTCCACAGACAAAACCCATATACAAGCGCGAGCTCTTACTCAAGTGCGAGCTCTGATACAACTTGTATCAGAACTTGTATCATACAAGTTCTCAAAAAACTGTCATTACGGGTAAACCCGAACCCCGACGGTCTTATTCCAGGAAACCCAGATAACAAGGAAACCAGAAACCCGAAGGGAATAACAAGGCAACCAGAAACCCGAAGGGAATAACAGTGTAAACCCCTAGCGGCTAGGGCCTAGCCCGATGCGGACCGCATTACGCGGTAGAGACGTCATTTGCCGTCGGTACGGACGCTATAACGTGGTTAATAGTAACCTAGGACACTAGGGAGTCCCTAGTAGGGACATCATCTGTTTTGGCCCGTGCCTTGACTATTTGCAAGAATAAACTGCGCGGGGCGAGCGAGAAATCACCTTGACTATTCACGATTTCCCTTGAAAATCTGAAATTCGGATTTTCAAGGTCCAGATTTTCAGATTTTCAAGGCTCAGATTCTGAATTTACCCAAAGTCGGCTCGGATAGTTTGGTTCGGCGGTTCGGGAACCGAACCGAACTTCTCCCAAACCCGAACCATGTTCGGCCGGACGTAGGAAATGATGTGGATATTCTCAGGGACAACCTCCCGGAGGTTGTCCGGACCTCGTAACCTTAGGGTGACTCGGAGGTCCTCCGAGTCACGACGACCCACGCAGAATTCTCCTTTGACCCACGCAGATTTGTTCGCGCACGTGAAAGATTTTTCGCGCGCGGCACAAAATTTTTCCAGAATTTTTTTTTACGGATTGTATAAACAATCACTCACAACATTATACAACATATAGAATGTCCAAACAGTTAATGATTAAGGGTGCCCGGATAGGGACTTCGACAAAATGGCATCTGACGGAGTCCCAGTAGGCATCAGCAAAGATATTCGTGAAGGTCTCTCAAGAGAGCAAGTTCACGGATAGCCGCATGCCACAAGCATATCGGTAAAACCAGCGATAACAGTAAACTCTACGGACAACATACCCATCATCTTGTGGCCATAACAACACCAACATGCCACAAGGATATCAGTAGAGCCAGCGATAACAGTAAACTCCAAGGGCAACATACTCATCAGCTTGTGGTCACAACAACACAAGCATGCCACAAGCATATCGGTGAAACCAGCGATAATAGTGAACTCTACGGACAACATACCCATCATCTTGTGGCAATAACAACACCAGCATGCCACAAGGATATCAGTAGAACCAGCGATAACAGTGACCTCTACGGACAACACACCCACCAGCTTGTGGCCATAACAACACAAGCATGCCACAAGCATATCAGTGAAACCAGAGATAACAGTAAACTCTAAGGACAACATACCCATCAGCTTGTAGCCACAACAACACAAGCAT